AAGCTTCTTTGAACTCAACCATTGGTTTTAATAATGTAGCCATATTTTTGAATTATGATTGATATGTTATTTGATTTGGTGGGGCTTAAAAATTATAGCTGTATTGCATAAGAGTATTCATAATAAGGGATTCGTACCACACAAAAATATTTTTTTCTTTTCAGGTCAATTGTTTTACACTATTTTATCAGAACTTTCTCCTTCTTATGCTGTTTTTACTTTTATAAGTTATCGAGAACTTAGAAAAGTAGTGTGATAAATGTAATGAAGCATCTGATGTTGAAGAATCTTTCTCTACATCCAAATCATATCTTAGGGAAGAGTATCTTTTATTCTACTGATTTCTACTCATCTGCAATTTTTTATTTTAATGTCTTCTTGGATTGTAATAAAAAATTGCTTAGCATCTCTTTGAGTTTCACTGGAAGGTTTACACAAAAGGACAAGGTGTGTGATGAATAATTTTAACTCCCAGGAGCCAAGTTCAGGGACTCATCCCCATATTTTGTATCTGCAGTTCTCTAGGGAACCTACCAAAGAATTAATTCACATATTATCACAGATTGTATGAAAATATATGACTCCAGGAATTTTAGAAGAGGCTAATAAGTGGAGGTTGACATCATAGCAGGCTGCTGGTAAAATTATACACCGAAACAAGTTTATATTTGAGGAGCCACCACATTCTCTTTTGTGCCATTCTCCCCTCCTCATCATTTCTCAGGAGCCTCTTGTTAGCAGGTTAACTCCAGGAACCCACCTTGGCCTATCCTCCCTGGAAGATACCCTGACTCTTAGAGCTCTTGACATAAATACTGTAATAAATCCCTAGATATAGGAAAGAAATGAATATCTAACAAAACCAGCTAATAGGGCTTCATATGTGCCCTATCAGAAAAAGGAAAGGCTTAGGCACAGGGATTGGGTCTCCCAGGAAGAGCTTTTGATGCTAGAACAGAAAGAGGCAGCAGGAGGCATTTGTGAGTAAAGATTTTCTGGTATCTTTAGAATAAAATGTATTATGTGAAACAATCATTGTAAGAATCATCCTCCCAATGAGTATTCTGAAAACGTGTGTTATTCCATTGTCACTGGCTTCTTGGGGTGCCCAGAAAAAGAAAGGATACTGCTTTCCACAGAGGAGAATACTGGTCAAATCAATTCAATCAAGAGCTGAGTTTCTTAGTGCAGAAGATCAAAGTGGGGAGTAACAGAAACTCTTAGTATACTCTAAATACAAATCCTTTACTTCTAACATAAATGCATTCTTTTTTGGTTCATTTACTCTGTAAGTATGTAAATGCCTGCTTTTCCCAAGTCACTGTGCTATGAACAAGTGATAGCGCATTTAGGTTTTAAAACTTGCTTCCCCGAAGATCATTTATTAATGTCCATAATCCCTTGTTCATTTAGAGAAGTTGATGGATCCTCGTTTCCCTTCATTCCCTAGCATATTCCTTTTTAGATGAAATGGGC